CCCAGGGAAGGGGTCGAGTCCCCAGCCCTGGGGGGATTTAACAGCCGGGCAGAGGCGGTGCTGAGGGCCAGGGTTTGGGGGTGGGATGGCAGGGGTAGGGGAACGGTTGGGCTGGGGGAGCTTAAAGGGCTTTCCCAACCTAAATGATTCTATGATTCTGTGATTCTAATTCCGGTCACCACAGCTCCATTAAGATTCACTAAAATTAGTAACAGGTTGGTCACAGGACACAAGACTCAACCAGTTCAGCCTGGTAGGAAATAAGTGCCTGATGGGGCTCAACGGGGCTATAGCATCATGAGGGGCTCGACGAGGCCATCACTTCATCTTTCTCACTCTGCATGGACTGGAAGACGATGAAACAGAGAGGCCCAGGTCAGCGTGGGAAGCAGAGAGTTTGCAGGGTGCATAGTTAAACTGGGCTTCACCCCTACAGAGGCCAACCTCACAAATCAGCTCAACAACAGCAGATGCAGGCATGGGAGAAAAGACCCAGAGTCATTAAACATGGGAAAAAAATCCCATGTGAAGCTCAGCAAGTCCCTTTGCTGTAAACTGCCTGGCACCCACAGCATCGGATAGTCCATATACACTGTCCCAAGCATCTGCCACTGTTAGAGCCACCCTAGGAGATGAGATGTTCCCTGGCTTGCCCAGGCCATCCAGTTTATCTTCTGCATGGGGTTAGTGTGTTTTTTGAGGAGATCCCACTGCTGGAGCCCCCTACCAGCCCAAGCACGCTCCCAGTAGCAAGGCCACCTCACCTGCCTGCGGCTCCAGGAGGGTCTCCAGCTCCTCTCCCACCAGCTGCTGCACGGAGAGCTCAAACCCGCTCTCGGAATCGCGGTCCTCTGCCTCGCTCTCGCCGTGCCCGCTGTCCTTCGTGCTCAGGCAGTCAGCATCCAGCCCCGCAGCCCTGCGAGGGGGCAAAGCACTCAAATCACACTTCAACCCTCGGCATGACCCTGCCGAGGTGGCTGTCTGTATCCCCCATAAAATGACCCAGAGGTGGGGCGTGGACATCCTCTCAGGACATCGTTGAGTACCAAAGGCATGATCCACCAGTCCCCACCAATTAATGAGTTTGGGGGTTGTTGGTTTGGGCTTTTTTTAAAAACAAATAAACAACACCAAAAAAAAAAAAACCCGCATGAACAGAAGCACTGGGATCAGGAGTGCCTTGGACCCTCTGAAAACTGGGCCCCAGCTGGGTGCTGGGCTACACGTGGGGCTGCTCCCCATTTCTTGCCTGAGAGGGTTTTTATCCTTTTGCAGGTTGATCCCAAGCAAACTGGGAGACGCTGGCTCTTCCCTGTGTATTTGGAGGAGCTGCCCATCTGCAGGACGGGCCCCAGCAGCCTCAGAGCCACAATCCCTCCCTCCCCATCAGCAGATAGAGAGGAGGAGGAGAAAGGTGGAGAAAGCTGTCTGCCCGTGGCCTGGGCAGGACAGGGGGGACATGGCGAGGCAGCGATGAAGCCCTGGCATCCTTGAGAGCATTCACCGAGATGTCAACACCATAATTTAATGGTAATGCCATCAAGTTTGTCTCTGGGAACATCTTCAGCACACAGCTGGGATATCTCAGTCCCCCCCATCCCTGCTAGCCGGGTCTCTCCCTCGCTAGCCTCCTGGCCCAGGGCCAGGTGCCCTGAACTCGCCTTAACAGGCAACAGCGTCTCTAAGATAGCACTCAGAGCCGTGAGAAAGCTCGTCCTTGTGCTGCTGCCTACAGAGCTGGGACCTTCGGTCCTCATCAGCGCACCTGAACACATCGGTGTTCCCCCAGCAAGGATGGGCAGATGCTTCACGGCCACGGGGGGGCTCAGGTGGGCATGGAAGATGCTGCCAAAAGTGCCCAGGAAGGAGGCAGAGAGCAGCCCTGGGGAGCCCAGACCTAGGAGAACAGCCATCCCCCGAAGGGAGGACCTACCTCCCCCAACCTCCGGTCAACAAAACCAGGGATGAGGTTTTTGCCTTGTGCGCCTGCTGCCCTGGTGTCTCCTGCCCTCAGAGGCTCTGGGGGCCAGCGGGGCTGAAGCAGAAGGGCACAGACTCAAGGGAACGGGGTGTGGGGAAGGGAAGGGCCGAGAGCCAGCCTTACCTGCTGCCGTTCTTGGCCGTGTACTTGTTTCCCCTGTGGTTTGTTTTGGGCTGGAACTGGCCCTGGTGCAGCAGGGAGAGCAGCTGGGAGATTTGCTGTAAGGCAGGAAAAGCTTGTTGAGCCCCGGCGATCGCCACTCAAGCTGCTTCCTGCCAGGACGTCCCCTCCGCACACCCCCCCCCCACCCTTTTTTATGCCGT